AACTTAAGTAAGTAGTACGTTACCGTTACGGTAGTACTACAACTATCAACGACGTACTACGACTACTTAATATATATATATATATATTATTTATTATTATTATATATATATATATATATATATATATATATATATATATATAGGTCATCACAGATCCATAGTCATATTTCATTACCAAAAGGAAAGATTTTAGGTTTTGTAACGATTCTATTGCTCACCATTGTCACCAATCATATCATGCCACACGGTATAGAAGTTTCATTATTTACTTTCAAGAGTTGCATATTTCTCATGCTGATCTGGTTACATGTCACTTTGTAGGTTCATGTAAAATCTGAGTCATGTTTCTGGATTATTTCTGCTTTGTATGTTTCCTCTAACTTGTAAATAAAAAATGTTATAGCTTATTTTGACTATTACCTGTAGAGTTACACGTAGTTTTTTTTTTAATAACTAGTTACAAGTTGTTTTTATGAAAATATCAAATCTCTTACATTGATTTGTTGTGCCTTCTTAAGATTTTTAGATTCCTGGATGTAGAACAAGTTGGATCCATAACATTTAGACAGGTAATTTCAGCATATCATGGGTTCTTTGCCCTATATGTTAAATTTCATGAAAAATCATCCTTGGATAATCTGTCCCATTTTTAGCTTTATTTCAATTGTCAGAGCCTGCACAAACATCTAGAGAAAGCTGCTGGATATTGATTTTGGGTGCTTCGTCATGGGCACCCAATTTTTGAAATAGCATAGTGTGCTGAGTTTACTGTTTGGTTTCTGAAATCATATCAACAATTGTCTGCAGCATGCTTGATTCTGTTCTGAATACATATTCTTGAGATGGTATTTTGTGATGTAAATACAACATTAAGAAAGAGTAACTGGAAGCTTGTGCATAACCTGACTCTCCTTTGAGCCGTTGAACACACGTAGTTACAGTTGATAGCTTTTGGAATGGTGGAAAAGGAATTGTCCCTGAAGATATTTAAGCTTGTGAATTTCGAATTATCCTTTCGTACCTACTATGTAGTTGGTGTCCCCTGAATCAAGTTATCAACTCCTTTAGATGCGTCTGTTGGCTTATTTGATGACAATATTGTAAATTCTTATCGACTAATGATTGTCTATTTTGTCTAAAGGTTTCTTCCATTAAACATTGTACCTGTGTAACTGAAATCCTATAAAATTATACTGGCCCGATGTTACTTTTATAAACTTAAAGACTATCTAGTTGATGGATGAAGGAGATGCATTTCAAGAATAAACATGAACTATTCTGAATAGTCATAGAAAACTATGCGTCTATGCCATTCAAAAAGTAGATAAAAAGACACAGAGTATATGTGGCTGTTATCCTTGAGTAGGGAGATGCTGCAGTCATAATTTTCCATTTACATTGGCATGGCTTCTTTAGTCACTAATCAATTGATATGGTGTCTCAGACTGTCTCCACAAAGATCTGTGAAATATTATAAATCTGCTTTGTAAAAGCTTTTAGCCAATTCACCAGATATGTTCTTATATAGACACATCCACTATTGTAACCCAGAGAGGTCTACCAATTGAGCGAGGGTGTTGAGAAAGGCACGGAATGCTGTTGTCACCAACCCGATTTCGTCCCCCCATCCTAAGACTAGAGAAACCACTACTAAAACAACTGGCTATTCTAGTATAACTTGGTGTTTCTTTTAGCAGTTCTTATTCGGATCTGTCACGTTACTGAAGCAGCCATCATTTCGGCAAGCTTGTGATACTGCCTATGCCTGCTGCGATGGTGAAGGGAAAGGGTACATCATAAAGCAAGAGGTAAGTACCCTACCCTCTGATCTGCTCAAAAGAATAAAAATTATCTTGGTTTTGGTGGTAAGTGACCTTTCCTTTCTGCAGTTTGAGCATGCAGTCCAGAGTGCCTGCCCATACATAAGCGTGGAAGACGTGAGTACCGCTCTCTCTCTTTGCATGTGTCTCAAAATATGTTGTATGAATTTTATTACAATTGACAGAGTTGATGACTGACTCGGCAATTTTCACTGCAGTATGGTAATCTATTCGAGTTGTTTGATAGTCATAACAACGACAAAATCAGTCATGGGGATTTCTTGACCTGCCTGAGAAAGAATCCACTAATCATTGCACTCTTTGCTTCCCAAATCTCAATCTGCAGAACAATTGAAGCCCAAGATGGTCGGCAAGCAGAGATTATGCGACCATGATTGGCTTGTATTGTTATTTATTAAGTGGTGTTTTATGAAACTCACATCCAGAGCGTTGTTTTAAGTGCTCTAAGAGAACTGTACCATTCTTTTTGTTTAAGCCCAAAAAAAAAAAAGCTTCGGGAGACAGCAATGCAGCTTATTTTTCGGATACAATGGGACAATCAATTACAGTATTGAGTGTATAATTACATTAACTGGCTTGTGCGTATTGCAATTACATAATCGCACACTTGTCTTTGTTTTTTGCATCATGCTTGTGAGTAGAACTGGAACTGCTCTTTGGCATCTGCATAGGAAATAAAACCATGTTCAGTTTGTAAGATACCTTTAAATCATAAATGTACAGACATATTCTTCAACACACCATTGCAATAAAAAAGAATTTCGAAGATCATAATTTGTCTTTGCCACCATGAATTCCGGGAGTCCCAAAAACATGACCTGTGCAACCCAGTGGTTCGGAACCCGATACCAGCGCAACCACTTGTTTCGTACTTGTGCAAAACTCATAGGAGCAAAGACAATTTCATACGAAACTTTCATCATTCATCATAAATGATGGTCTCATATAAAGACCCATCAAGAACCAATTATAGAAAAAATTAATGTAAAAAGCCCTAGGAATTGCAGAGTGATAGAAGCACGAATAGCTTGACATTGATCAACATGAAACAGGTTGTAGCTTGATGTCTCTAATTGCTGCTAGCAGGGGTATGGAATGGATGCCATGATACATGTACCATTTAAAAAGTATAATACAATTAAGAACAGCAATTTATCATCAATGGACAGTTGGGTTGGCTTGTTCCTCTGAGGAAGTATATTAGTTTCTGCTTAGGTGGAGGAACAGGTCATTTTAACCGTGTCATATGCTACTGTTAACAGGCAGAAAGTATGATTTCATGATACATGTACCATAGAAAGTGTTTCTTGTGAATATAAATAACAAAAAGCATTTGTTGTCAATGGCCAGTCGATGTGAAACATTTATTCCTCTAATGAAATTGATTGGTGTCTACAGGTGAGGAACAGGTCATTTCTTCTGCGAAAGTAATTGTCTGGTGCCATATGATACAATAACAACAGGTAAAAAGTTGTAATAGGTTACAACCATAACAAATATAAGAAAAGGTACTTACGTAGATGCCCAGTGTATGGCATGAATATCCACCATCAAATGTTCAGAAAACGTTATTATAATGATATAATAGCCTCGGTAGTATTGTCATGGCACCCGGTACTTAAAACCAAGCTGGTAAGAGTTCTAAAATAATTTGTATACTGATGGATCATGTGAGCAGATCAGTTTTTAAAATAATGCTTTGCTATTGTGAAAATACATACATAGCATACACATGATAGCATGACATCACATTGTTAGTATTTTTGGTTTTGAGAAACGCTTGTGTATTTCAAAATAACATTATAGGTTTTTGTGGTTTGTCATAAGCTGTATTTTGTACAGAGAAAGTTTGGGGTTTTTTATCCCACACCGAAGAGGAGAGAGTAAATTGTGAAGTATTCAAGTGTAGGTATTCTCATGCCTTACAAATGAGAGAATAATAGTGCATGTATGGAGCACGCGAAGTATGCGACGTGCATGCGCACGTGTGTGCGCGAAAGCATGGGCACAAGGGGGAGCTTGATAGAGCACTTTGCACTTCGCAAGCTCGAATCTTAATGAAAAGGAGGCTTATAACAACTATTGAGATTAAAGGGTGTGCATGTAACTGGTGACTGTTGGCGATACATGTAACCACCACTACAGTAAATGTTCAGCCTCCTTATAGCACTATAAGAAGGGTCTTTTTCCCATACAAAATAAGAGTCTTTTACAAGCTTTCACAACTCTCTCAACACATCTTTCTCTGTGAAATTCCAAAGAGCATAATAATAAACTATCTCCTCTCTCTCTCTACTCATTCTTCTCTCTTTCTCTCTCTAAACAACACTACACTCTGGTATCTACTGTAGGTTTCCAAGCTTAAGTGCATAGAGCTTTGAAACATCAAAAGAGACACCTATGTTTTCCTGTATCCCAAGGACAAGTTGCCTTTCTGATGCACATCAATTACAATATCGAAGGAAGGCAAATATCGTCTTGAGATAACGCTCCTGCATACCCGAAAACTAAAAAGAATCAAACCATATTTTTTTGAATCTGTACTACCTTTTTGCCCCTATTTCACCCAATTGATTTCCAACAATTCAAAACGATATTTTTATGGGTGAAATCAAGGAGACTATCATGACATCCTTGAAAGTCATGACCACGATTTTACAAGACTTGAACGCTTCAGAGGATTAAATTTCAAAATATGGCATCATTTTCTTGCTTACTACTCTCAAAGTGGCTTACATAGTGTCACTGAATCTATGCCTACACCACCACCTCCATCTAATGATTCCACTGAGGAGCAAACTCAAGCCTATAAAAAGATGGAAGATGACTACATTTGCCCCAATGCTTTGCCAGGTCCCATATACGATATGTATGCATCCATTGCCATGGCGAGAGACCTATGGAAGCTTCTTGAAACTGAAAACCCCACTGAAGATTCTAATAACAAAATGTTTCTTATTTCTAATTTTCTGGACTTTAAATTCATTGGAAAAAAAAATTTCTTTATTAAGTATATGAGTTGCTGCTTGTAGTCAATTAACTTAAAGATTGTGTCAATTAACTTAAAGATTGTGGAATTCAATTAGATGAACTTTTGCTAGTAGCCACTATAATTCACAAGCTACCACTATCTTGGAAAGAGTATCAAAAGAAAATGAAACATAAGAAAATAGACCTTGATTTGGTTCAACTTCAGAGATCTAATTTGAATTGAAGAAGATAAATAGACTTTGGGAAAAGAAAGATAAAACTATGAATTTTCACACTAAGGTAAACCTAAAGTCAAGTGCTCCATACAGCATTCAAAAAAAAAAAAATCAAGTGTTCCATACAGCATCAAAAAAAAAATAATCAAGTGCTCCATATAACAAGAAGCTTTTCCTTTCTAATGTCCATAATGATTATTTTAAGGACCAAAAGTCTAATGCTAACAAAAATAAAAGAAAAGCCTCTAGTTATTTATGTGAAAAATTGGGACACTATTCAAAAGAATGCCAACACCAAAAACGGCTCCAAAGGCCGAAAAACCAAGTGAACATGATCACTAACGAATATTTTGTAGCAATGGTCACATAAGTAAACATGATCGATAAAGATATTGCATGGTAGATCATACCGCCGCTACCATTCATGTATCTAACAATAGAGACATATTTAAGACCTTTGAACCAGGAGGTGATGAAAATTCGGTTTAACTTGGAACCCAAGTTATGACTAAAATGCATGAAAAGGGTACAGTGGAATTAAAATTTAGTTTGGGTAAGGTTCTTACCTTGGAAAATGTGTATTTCATAATAGATATGAGAAGAAACCTATGTTGAGATGTATCTTGAACTAGAATGGCTTTAAAATGGTCAAACTCATTTTGACCAAAAATGGTGTATTTGTTGGCAAGGGTTACTGTTGTGATGGGATGTTGAAGTTTAATTTAGTTAATAAAATAAGCCTTTTGTTTATATTGTGGCTTCTCGTAATGTGCGGCATGGTAGAGCAGGACATGTTAATTATACTTTTATTAAATCTTTGGCAAAGTTAGGATTGATATATAATTGTGATGATTTATCTAAAGAAAATTGTGAAGTATGTGCACAAGCTAAAATAACTAGAAAACCATTTCTTTCAATAGAAAGAAATAGTGATATGTCAAGACTTATACATACTGATTTAAATAAGGAAAAAGTTTATAAAGAGCCGAGGCCCTAAACAATCAAATTAGAGCCCACCACAAAAATTTCCCTAGAAGAGGTTGTTTTGAGGCCCAAATATTCATCTCGATATTAAGATGCATGGAAATGAGAAAATTGGATTTCAAGTTTTGAAAATAGTGCGTCTTGTAACGCATTTTTGGACCATCAATTTTCAAGATTTTCATAGATCTGCTCAATTTACATTATCTTTAAAGCTATAATTAAAGATGAAAATATATTTTAAAGCTATCACAAAGATTTCTAGTATTGAAACCACATTTCTTGACATTATTTGAAGGTACGCTTTATTTTGATTGTCTAGAGCGTCGGCTCTAAACCGCACCCAAAGATATAATAGCCTCGGTAGTCACTAGTATATTGTCATGGCACCCGGTACTTAAAACCAAGCAAGTAAGAGTTCTAAAATAATTTGTTACTGATGGATCTTGTGAGCATATCAGGTTTTAAGATAATGCTTCATAACAACCACAGGATACGCAAGTTTGGGAGTAGTTCTTTATGAATCTTTAGTGCGGAGGTACTTTGAGTTGGTCATGCCAAGGAAACTCTTTACCTCTGTCAGCGACCTGGGGGTTCGCCATTTCCGGACAAACTTCGTCTCCTCAGGGGTCTTGACTCCTCTTGAGCAGATGATGTGCCAAAAGTATACCAGCTCCTGCTCGTGTACAAGCAGGCTCTTCTCCATATGGACCAGAAAGATAACTAGGCCCCAAAGAGCCTTTCTTTACAACTTTAGGGTGGAGTGGGGGGGGGGGGGGGGGGTGTTACATACAACCGGCAAAGAGGTTGATGATTGGATCTCAAAGGCATTATTATCCTTTGGTAGATCCAAGTCCATGGCCTATCATTTACGTGATAGCATGACATTCCCCATTAGAAAATTTACGCATTCTACATATTATTAAGTTATATTTAAGGGGAGGGACACATGACATTCAACTAAGTACAGCCCTATCGAGATAGAATTTAGGATAGGTGATGGAGGGCAAAAAGTATTCTTATGTTTTATTTTTATTCAATTTTAAAGGAAGCATATTATAGTTTTAGATTTAGAGTTTACTTCTAGGGCTTTTAGTTTTTAGGGATTCTAAAGTTTTTATTGCTTTTATTTACTTAATAAGTACTATTAAGCATTCACAAGCACTGTTCACCGGGGAAAAACTATCATTACGAAATTTCAGTTTAAGTTAGGATATATAGGTCATTCTAATCATTGTATGGATATGTAATATCCTTAAACATTAAATTATAATATATAAAAGGTGTGTGGAGACTTGAGAGGCACATATTTTTAAAAAGAGAAGTTTATGCGTTTAGAACCCTCGCTAGTGATATGCAAAAGAAACCCTAAGTTTCTTTGAATTGTGCTTGTGTTTGGCTTTCTTCCTTGTTGGTTTTATTGTTCCCTCAAATTTTCCTTGCATCAAATTGGTATCAAAGCCCAAAGTTAACTTTACTCAAAAAAAAAATGGCATTAGAGCCCGCAATCTACAAGGAAAATATTGTAGCATTGTACAGAGTTACTGTAATACTGTACGGAGTTATTGTAGAACTGATTTTTTGTTTCCCTAAATCAACAACAAAGTAGGGAAGTTATAGTGGGGGGTCTATGGTTTGATGATTTTTGCTAGGATTTTATCAAAACAACCTAGATCTTGCTGATTTAACAGTTTTTTTATGATTATTTGGCTTGGATTTGTGATTTCGGCGAACCCACGGTAGCGAGAGGCCCGTAGAAGGGGGATTTTCGTAGGTCCACTCTGTGATCCTATCAGATGACATAATTGAAGAACTTGAAAGGCAAGTACAGCAGCTGGTGCAGCAATTCGCGAGCCTCCATAATGGGCAAGACAGTGATCTTTTGGCCCAAGAGGATCTCGAGTACAATCTTTTTTACTTTTATGCTCCACGTGGGGAGTTGAGTGATGAGAATAGTGACAGAATACCTAGATGTGGGGACCATCACTCTAGGGTTCTCGATTTGGAGGATGAGATTCTTCATTTTGACACATCGTATCAAAAATCAGCAAGATGTAGATTGGGATCTGCCACCAATCTTCGATGCATACTTAGATGAAGAACCAAATCTTTTAGAAGATCCAATCTATGATGATGATCAAGATTTTGTGGTAGAATTGGTATTTGATGATGAAAAAGATGGACTTAAAGGAGAATTGATAGTTGAAGGTGTTGGTTTAGTCGTTGATCTCAAAGATGCACTCGTGGTATGTTCTAGAGTTTGAGTCTGGGCAAATTCAACAGGGTTACATGGCCGAAGTAATGCAATTTCAACAAATTTATATGATTAAAAATATTCTATCGACATGCAATAACCCTTTCCTCAAGGGTTTCTCAATTCTAATGCACAATCATTGTATTTTGATTAGAGCAGTAACCCACAAGTTCTAAGATCATGTTTACCATATTCGAGTTGAAGAATGTTGATGGACTAGCACTAATTTCATTTTAACACACTTTAAAACTCGAGGACAAGTTTTATCCAACCATGGGAAAATGATGGAGGGCCAAATTATTCTTATGTTTTATTTTTATTCAATTTTAAAAGATGTATATTATAGTTTTAGTCTTAGGGTTTATTTCTAGCATTTTTTAGTTTTTAGGGACTTTAAGGTTTCTATTTTTTTTATTTACTTCATAAGTCCATTCTCACCAAAGGGTAGAGGCCCAAATCCTCATTGACTTACCCCCTTTTTTTTTTTTTCGTTAAGTACTATTCACTAGTCACTATCGTAACAACATTTAAGTTTACGATAGGATATATAAACCATTTTTATCATTGTATGGACATGTAATGTCTTTGAACATTGAATTATAATATATAAAAGGTGTGTGGGGCCTTGAGAAGATCAAATTCCACATATTTTTAGAAATTGAAAAAGAAAAAAGTTTATGCTTTTGGAACTCTAGCTCGGGATATGGAGAAGATACACCAGGTTTCTTTGAATTATGCTTGTGTTGACTTTCTTCCTTGTTGGTTTTACTGCTCCCTCAAATTCTCCCTACTTGAAGGGGAGGGGGTTGGGGGGGCATGAATTCTGAGTTTAAAGTAACCTACATTGTCATCCATTTCAATATGCATCTCTTCCTATAATAAATAAATAGAAATATCGGCACTTCAAATATAAATATATTATAGGAAATTTAAGTAGGAAAGGAAACTCTACCTTAATAAATGCTTCATCTTTACCCAAACTTTCAAGTAAATATTTTGGATGTGAATACACCAATAGAGAGATCCTATCCTTTTTCGAGAATTATTAACTTAATCAGAAACGTGATTTCCTGATCTCCAAATACAGAGATTGCTTTTTGGGGAAATGTTTTTGTAGTTTTCACTATCTTGAGCATGTGCCTTTTGCTAGTCAAGAAAAAATGCCAACATACATATACCATACAAACAATATGCTATAAGTCACTTCAAATATTCATTGAACTGCACCTCTACTTAAGTTTGTGAGTATCCAGCTGACTGGAGAAACGCGTCATTTCAAGCAGATTTGAAGGCTTTTTAACATTATAATGGTCTTAGTGCTTTTTATGAATCTTACCATCCATATTTATCATGGAGATTAACTCTTAACACCCAATGACAGGCATTCAACTAGTACAATTAATCTCCAACATCCGTAATCAAGACTATGAATGCCTAGCGGTATATATACTAAAAAAACATGGATGGTCTATTGTATAACATCCCTTAATATCCTTCAAATTTTCATGACTTCCATGATGCTCCAGGAGCCACCCACCTTGGTGTTAAAATATGCCTAACCACAAATTATCAAAAGATTTCAAAGTCATTGCATCATGATAAATAAAACAGTTATCATGGCATTTTCTTTAAAGCACATGACCCATTTACTATTGATATTAATCATACTACCTAAAGGTAGACACTTACCTGGTTACAGTTAGTCTCCACTATCCTAATCAAGACTGCCCTGGTGGTGTCCCATATCGAATACACGGATGCTAAGTGATATGCTATCCCATAATATCTCTCAAATTCGTTATCTTTTATGCTGCTCTAGAGAGCCCCCTCCCTGAGTGATCATTATATGACTAACCATTTCTGTTGCACCTTGCATGAAGTCAAGAAGATAAATAAACAATAATGGTATGGAATCCCACAGGAGGTGAAAACAATTTAGGATAAAAAATATACTCTGCGCAGTATGTGTATTTTGGGGGTAGGGATTCAAGAGTGCTTTAGATTAGGATGCAATAAATCTTAGGACAGGAGTTGCTAGTATTAAGCATTAGCACAGTGCAGTGCAGTGCAGTGAGGGGTGGTAAGGAATGGTAGTTGTTCAAGATACAGATGGGGGTAACCAGAATCGCAAACGGTAGAGAAGGGATTGCTATAGTGTGCTGCAGATGGAGGGTGAAGGGGTCAATGCTTTAGTGCCCATATAATGGCCATTTCTTGGGAGATGTTGAACACTATCAATTACAAGTATGATGCCAGTTGCATCACAACAAAATTCACCATCTTAAGCACTAAAAGTGGCATTGTAACGTCATATCAGACTTTGCTGGTTGCCAATAATGATACCCGTTATTCCAAAATCAATCAGACAACGTTAGAAAGCGAAATTTTAACTTTAGCAGCCTTTGGTAAACACCATTGTAATGTTTGTAGCACCTGTTGTTTTTAAACACATAGCTTCAGATTAATTCCCTTTACTTCAATAAAATGATGAATGCCTGTTACTATGATAACACCGATCATAGTGCTCTTCTTAACCTAACCCACCAATTCACATCTTGGAGATTAACTGTAACACACAGTAATGGACATTCAAATGGGAACAGTTAATCTGCAACATCCTTATTCAAACAAGGGCAATGGATGCTCATGTGGTTCACTGTGTATCACATAAGGAACGTATATGGTATACTTTCCCATAATATTCCTCATTTTCTTTTTTCCCATTATTCTCTGAGGAGTAACCCATCTGAGCACAAGATGCCGAGCCATACATAATCAGAAGTTTCCCATATCTTTTGCATTAAGATAAATAAACAACAAAGGGCAAAGAATGTCAGGTGTTGAAAAATTTAGAAGAAAACAACATTCTGCTTAGTCAGGGTATTTTGGGCAGGAACCTGAGGGGCTCGGAACTGATTTAATGACAGGATGGGTAAGTAAAGCGAGTTAGTGCAGTGTAGTAGGGGTCAGTAATTGAAAGAGATGGTAGCTGTTAGGAGTCCAGACGTGTTAGATAATGATGTAAGACGGGGCTGTTATTCTGTGAGGGACATTGGTCAATGATATAAAACCCATTGTAATGCCCATTTTTTTCTCTCTTCAGCAACAAAAGATAGCTCAAAAAAAAAAAAGGGGCTGAGGAAAATTTTACAGGACTATACATACATGCAAGTGTGCACACACAAACACACATATACATAAATAAATACACACATATACATAATTAGGAACATATATACATACAAACATACATACAGAGAAACATATACACACGTGAGAGGGGGGAGAGAGAGAGAGAGGAGAGAGAGAGAGAGAGAGATGCCCCAACATGTAACCATACAAGACTAAAGTATCTCTGATATTCTGGTATTATCAAAAATACAAAATGGCAGCCAAAAGCTAATCCCATCCATGTAAACAAGAACCTTTTTATAAAGGACAATAATCACAGCCTCACAATGGAAAAAGAGTTCGATTAAGCATAATGAACAATGTTCGCAAAAACCTTTTTACATGAGAACCTCTGCCATTGGGAAAAAAATCCAACTAATCGTAACCGACCACGATGCACAAGGACTTTTTTCAAGAGAGAATCTGTCATCTCAGCCTTGCTAATGAAAATTTTCAATCAAGCACAAGAATGCTGGCTAGAACCTGGACTCACATTTCCAACTGCTCCCACTCCCTGTTTGTTTTCGACTGTTAGTTTCTTTTGATAGTATTTTTCTTAAATGCATTATTCCAAGAACTAGAACAAACATCCAATCCTAACTCTGTGGTTCCTAAGGCCAGTACCAGCAGGGATCTTAGGACGAATCAACACCTGCAGAATCGCAGGGTTCATTGGACGAATCAACACCCACAGAATCGCAGGGTTCATTGGACGAATCAACACCCCCAGAATCGCAGGGTTTGGACGAATCAACACCCCCAGAATGACAGGGTTCATTGGACGAATCAACACCCACAGAATCGCAGGGTTCAATGGACGAACCAACACCCACAGAATCCCAGGGTTCATAAGACGAATCAACAGCCATAGACTCCCACCATACATTATCCCACTGTTTACTATCTTCCTACAAAAATACCAAATCAAAGAGAAACCGCCATCATATCTCTTATGTCAATAGAAACTTATGAAGAAACCACAATATATGAAGGAACTCTGATCAAGTGACGTTAGACCTAGTACTGTCAAACCCATAGTCAATAATAGCTCGGTAACAATGTTCCTAAGGTAAATGGCATCACATAGCCGTGGCTCACGTGGCATTATTAATGAAGTTAAAACAGCGCAATCTACACAAATGGACCCAAATGCATATTGAATGTGAGGTTAACTAAGTAGCACTTATTTTCAGTAATTATCAGCAAAAATCTCCCGTGATAGCCTGACGGAAAGAATGCACAAATCTAGAGAAATATTATATGTGTAGCCCATATTTTTGTATGGGAAAGTTCACTATATGTGCTATTCAAATGTATGTGCAGCCAATGTTTTGTATGGGAAAGCATGGCATACTGCATACAACTGTACATTCCTAACAAGGGACAGTTGGGATGAACTGCTCCTCTGTTGGATCAGAACATGACGAACCTGATCAAGGAATGGTTTATCTCAAACTGTCCTTTTGTTGAGAGCAGATGGTTGAGATTACATGCAGTGTACTATTTGTATACTGCATGTTGCGTATACAATCCTTTTTCAGAATTGCCAATGGTCGTAATATAAGATTGTGCTAATGTCACAATATAATCTGTGGCTTAGCACATGAAAAGCAAGGATAGGAAACTTTTAGTAACACAATTCTAAGATCCATCAGCTTCTCTTCTGCCAGGATGACCAAGGTGTACCACTAGAGTGGCTGGAAACAATCCTTTGCACCACCACTTATGGTGACCAGCCATGTAGCCAGTTGAGAACAGGTCTAGCCCTCCTAGAAAGGAATGCACAATTCTCAAATGGCAACCATCAAAAGGGAAATAGTTATAGAGTCTAGACATCATGTAGTTATCAAAAGGAAAGAAGAGCGCTCGAGTACTATATGTTGCTGTTGTCCATCAAAAGAATAATAGAGCATTTGAGTTACTCAAGTGTCCAATAGATTCCGCTCATAAACGGTTAATAAGCTATAAATAACCTTCATGAGTCTGTCTCAGGTTTTTACCCTACTGCAAAATCAAGGAAATGTCTCTTTTATCATCAATCAATAATGTGCAAGGATCTTCCTCAGATCATTATCATCCAGATATCTATCCAGAATTTGTTGTCATTGTATTGTTTTACAATATTTCTTATTTTTAATTTCATATAATGCAATGAGTTTACACTTCACACTGGTTACGAATTCAATACAAAAATAATAATAATAATTAGAATAGTAATAATAACAATTACTAGCACATGGTAGAACTCTTAAATGCAAAGCAAGTAAACAGCATTTTCATGATACTTAATATGGGACCTGTAAGTATAAAAGTAGCCAGTTTTTACTACCTCTGGACCTGTGACAAGCCTGGAGCTGCCAATTGAAGATGATGGTTTTGTATTCTGCGGATGCTTATGCTGATTCTGATGCTCATACTCCTGTTGTTGAAGGGCTATTGCCAGTTGTCGATCAGAACTGTCAAAAATTATCACCAGCAAGGAATAATTAGTAAAGAAATAGCTAATAACTGAAACAAATGAATCATCTTCCTTGGATAAATCAAGCAAAATAATTAGTTGCTTCTGCTCCTGCAGGTCATTTTTACTACAGATTTCTATATAAAATATGCGTGTGAACAACTGAAGGCAGAACAGCTAGATAGCATACTTTAGAGTTGAACTTGGTTCTGCTTTTTCAATGTTGGATCGGTAATCCTGAAACATTAAAACAGTTGCAACCCCAGTTAAATTATTTATGATACTATCCACAAATAAAATTTGATTATGGTGCTTCAGTAAGATGAGCATAACATACAGCAGTACTAGTCATGGCAGTTTCCTCATCCCATCGGGCGCCAACTTCATTTTCTGCCTTAAATTCTGTGAAGGCACCCGTCATAAACACGGTATCTCCATTCACCTGAATACGAAAACTTGTTAACTAGAATGTTCAGTGAAAATGAAGGCAAGAAAAACTACACAAATTCTAGCTATTCGACCCCTAAACTACACAGATTTATAAAGGTTGTACTCCAATTGTCCAAATGATGAGGTTACTATTCATAAAAATGAGATTCCCTGTCATTTTCAGATCAAGATGTAATAACCAGATTATTATGTATAGGAATGCAAAAGAAATGAGATAGATTATGCAACTAACTCAGAGATCATTTAAAATATTGAGGCAAATGACAATACCTCATTTAACTTCTCCCACACTAAATCTGGTTGATTTATATAGCCCTGGTCAGTTGCTAAAAGATACAGCTCGCCCTTGAACTGCATCACAAATAACAAAATAGTTTGTAAATATCCTTCAAACTAATCATATAAACATTTATAATAATGACTGCATTAAGGAAAACAAAAAGAAGGTAAAAGTGGTCAAAGTGAAGCCTCATTACCTTGAACATAGTACTGAAATGATTATTACGGAAAAAAACACAAAGTTCACGCTCTTTCAGTCCTTCTTGTAGGCAAAATAGGCTGGAAAATTTAGGCAGTTCGGATAAAGAGGATGTCAAAGACAACCAAAAACCCAGGATGCAACCCATAAACAAATTCCATTACAGAAAAATGCAAATTCATATACCCATATATTGTCAGCTGGCTCGCATTATTCTTCAAGAAATTCCGTATCAGTTCTCCTAAAACGCAATCAAATGCACGAAAGACTACTGATAAATAAATATGAAATTGAATAACAAAGAAACATGAAAAAATCTGCTTTCGAATAGGATAACAGAAAACTTCAATTTAGACTATAAAAATCAAATGCAATCATTAGCAAGTATACCTTCCCTTGCCGTAAGATTGTAAGGCCCTTCACATGGTTGCTCAATACCACATGCATCCCCATTTTTCCCATCATTAGCTTGGTTGGCAAGGGCCATCTCACCTTCATACATAGGCTCTCGATTTTCATAAGTATCATTCCCTGCATCCTGTATGCAATCTTCTCCTTCATATATGGGCTCACTCATGCTTGAGCTTACATCCTCAGGGACATCTATGAGCTCCCTTTTACTCTGACTGTCACCAGGAGAGATATCAGAATTTGCAACAACTGGGGAATGTACTATTGTGTTGTAATCTTCAGAATAATTATCATACGGCATGTGGCTAATTGGAACCTTAGAAGTATCTCCATGGAATGTTGGCAAAACCACTTGGTCAATTTTTTGCCCGTTCTCATGATTTTCGTGATTGTATTCAGTAATATGGCTGTCCAATTTGCTAGGAAGTAAGGATATATTTTGGTCTAGAACCACATTATCATTTTCTCGTTCCTCAATCAAGCTTCCACTAGTGACATTATTTCCGCCAAATTTTTCAGTAACCGATTCAACAGAACTGGTTTGTAGTGAACACTTAGTATGAATGATATCAGATTCCATTGGACTAATAATATTTGAGGGTAACCCATCAATATAACAAACAGTGGATGAACTGCAACTAACTTGATCGAGAGAATCCAAAAGACATGATTCTTGGAATACATCATCATTATGTTTCCCCTCAATGGAATCAAGCGGCCCTTCAGATCTGCTGCACTTATTGTCAGAACTGCTGCTCTTATTAATGTTGTCATCTGAACTACCAGCAAAGTTCCAAAAGTGTGCTCCAGGGGACACCGGATTAGGAACAGTTGCTACCACTTCAGTTCTTGATATATTTAGTACTTTCATCAGTTCTTCCACTTCCTCTCTGTCTCCCTTCCGTCCTCCTTGTTCAATACTGTCTGGAAGAGGAGAGTCCTCAAAAGATTTGGCTCTCGACAGGCATGGGGAAGGAACTCCTAAAGTAGCAGTCGTAGCAGCAGCAAAATCAATTGAATCTTCTAGAAGGATCCCCTTAGACTCCTCCACAGCATTTCGTGTTTCAAGGGAAACAAGCTTCTCCATAAGGGTATTATAAGAGTTGGAACCAATTGCAGCTGCAGTTTCTGAGTCCTACTCAAATATATCGCACTGGATGTCAAAGTTTAATACACTTGGAGTGACATGACAATATATCGATTGAATTGCAATAAGAAGCCAATTGAAACAATCTCGCCACAATAAATGTTGAATAAACCAGATTCTGAAATCTAATTGCAGCAATACAACTGCCTATAAAATTGAGCGAACAAGACTACAGTGCCCCAAATTAGAAAATCATTGGTAGAAATCATATACTAACATGTAACTGTAAACAAAGATGGGCCATTCTCATCACATAAATCTAGTAGATTGAATGTTCAGAGCTCAATATGAATGGTGTTTAACAGGACAGTGAGAAATTTGATCAAGTCAACAAAGGGTCATTTAGCAAGGAAGAGAAACTGAAAACAAATATAATACCACAACTAACCTAGCAAAAAACCAAAAGATATCAAATTAGATCTAGCTTCAGGAAAATGTAAGAAATCAAAGCAGAGGACCCATATAATTGGTAAAAAGGAAAAAAAGAAAAAGAAAAAAGAAAAAAAAAAGCCAACAAACAACTACAGATACATGTATGATACTTATGCAGTTAACAAGAACACATATAAGAAACATGGACAAGGAAGGAACGAGTATAATAAAGAAAACAAGTGCTTGAAAAGTCCTTAGTTTTTGGACTATAACTTGAACTTCATGACACTCATTATGTGGAATTTACTAGCGGTTCAGAAGTCTAAGTGGAGCCACTTTGTTATAAATTATAGCCAAAAGTTGTTCAAGTTTCTTCTTTTGTAACTTGTCTTCCAATAACACCAATTCAAACCAGCCTAAAACCTGAATTGCATCACTTGAAGATGTTCAATTCCTCCAAATTGGGTACATAAAGGATTTAATCCGAAGTGGATGCACAGCTCCTAAACTTGATCATTTCTAGGAAGTTTGGTATGTGGGTGCATGCTTCTTCTTTTTTTTATTGGAAACTGTACATCCATTTTTATTGAGTGAGTTATACATGCTTTTGGAAGTTGACTTCAAGCATTGGAATCATTCATTTTCAGGCATGGTTTTCGAGCACGAATGATTGCATGGTAGATCTTTTTCCATGAGGGTAAAAACCAAAAATGAGTTGACAAATAAGGTGGGTTTCTATTTCAGCAAAAAGAAAAGCTTGGAGAGGAAGTTTTGAGGGTTTTATTCAAGAGGCTTTGTGGAAGGACGTTTCAGTTTTAAGTTGATTATTACATAATTGTAAAAGGTGTAGAGCTTCTTTTGAGCTCCCTCCTAATTCTTGATTGCTCTATTTTGCTGAAGGATCTCCTTCGGATTTTGGCTTTATCTCAGTTCTTTGTTTAACTATTTTTTCCATGTAGCTTTTGCTCTGTTGTTGATTTGCACCGGATATCTCGACTACCAAAGGTATGACAAAACAATGCAAGAAAATAAATAGCTCAGTGAGACACGCACTGCCTCCTAAAGGTACTTGTGACAAGTTAAACAATTTAGGTTCAACTGAAAGAAAGGGAGGAAAATATGGAAAGAAGGAACACAAGTATATCGGACAAGGCATTTTACTGCATGTGCTCCATTAACACAGTGGAAACCCAATTTTATCAATACTTACAACTAGCTAGATTATGGTGCCCATTAGCACTGAAAAACTTGGAAACTCGGTTATATATCACTCAGAAGCCTTAAAAACTCTTCAACAAATCTGAACCTATTCTAACCCAACCTTCAACTTTAACCTCTCGTAAGCCTATATCTAAGTCCTAAAGCCCAAACTTTACCCCAAAAAGTCAGTCTGAACTCTAAACTCCATACCCCTAAGACTTAGTTACTAACCAACAAATCTTGCCTATACCTGTGTGTTGGTCCAACATCAACTTTATGAAACTCATTATGAAGAATTTACTTTTGTGGTTTACAAATCTACACGACAACATTCTGTTGTAACCACCATCATCAGTAGATTTCAAGTTTCTAGCTTTGTAAACAGTATCCAACAATACCAATTTAAATTAGCCTAAAAACTGAATTACGTTGCTAGAAGAGACTCATAACCCCTCAAAATGAAGTACATAAAGGGATTCAATCTGAAGTCTAGACTCCCAACGGCTATAAGAAAATAATATGAGTACAGAAAGTAGTGATGGGGCTAACAGTGCCTCCTAAAGATACTTGTGCCTAGTGGATAATTCAGTTTTATATAATGTGATGGTATCTTATAAGAGAATAGATTATAATAGACTCGGAACCTTTGAGAATGCCCCAGTGAGAGATTTCCTTTTTTGGATAGAATACCACCAGCAATTTCTTTAGCACCCAACTTATAGTTCTTGTGCCCCTGGTGCACGCCATAAATTTCAGAGATTAAATTTTAATAACCAAGTATTACGCTATCTTAGGAAACCTCCTCGACATATGCATATACCAAATGAATCAACATCATAAATTTGGCTAGCACATTTGACACAATTCACTCGATATTACGATCAAGTCAACCTTGGACGAAACTGCTATCAGGAAAAGGCATGTTTGTCACAAAGTGTTTCAACTCATCCTTTTCTAAGTTCCAACAATTCCAAGATCTCTATAAGATGAACTTCAACATGAAGAACAACATCTCTACATGCTTCATGCTAACATAGCTCGTAAAGAAATGTGTTACTTCAGGCATGAAACTAGCAGCTCTGATTTGGAAACAACTAGAAGCTTTTAGGCGTATCAAACTTATAGGAAAAGAATAGACGAATAAGTTTTATTTAATCAGCCCATACCTGAGGATCACAAATCCAGCCATGCACTAATCCAAGGTCCAAAAGATCAAATATGGCACACTCTGGTGTGAACTCAAAATCATGTATGCTGCATATGATTTAAAAAATGTCAAACCATTTCCAAGTCTTCAAATATGTAGCTTACAAAAACCATCAATGTCAATTTTACACATAAAGATCAACAATACAAAGAATAAACAGTCAAATTAATTGAAAAATTAATGACCGATTGAGGGAGGGAATATATCTCGTTAAAGAGAAATGTGCATACTTTCTAAAGCATACATTCACATCTATCCCTGTAGAAAGACGAGATAGCACTTCCATTGCATCCGAAATATTCTGTTGCTGATTATGCACATATTCATCATCTTTGTTCTGCTCCAAATAAACCGCACAAAGACACATTTCTAAAGGTCAAGAGTCTAAACAACAAATACAATATCCATGAGTTCACAAAAATAAAAATTGCACCATAGTATGGGAGTTATTGAAGACTAAAAGGATCACCTCAATGTTACTGTTGGAATCAATCAATCTTTCGGCAATAAGGGATAGCAAAGTTCGCAAAGAAACTTCAGACGTCTCTGAACCTAGGTTCAAATTATTTCGCAATAGAAGAACATTACCTGTATCACATTCATATAGTCACAATCCAGAATGATAAAACACTCAGCGCTCTACTTTTTGAAATAAAGAACGCCAATACGTAGTCATTCATGCAAGAAAAATTAAGCATATATGTGGATGCTTAGTGTTTACAATAACTGAATAACTTTATTTGTACATGTTATATAATGTGTAATGCAATAAAGGGATACATGATTCACCACGTGATATATTCTTAATAACTAATAGAACTTTAAAAAAACACAATGCTGACCAATCAATTCAAGCACATTGCATGCCAATAAGATCTGAGTACAAGTGCTAGCGATTGAATACAAGCAAACTATTACCAGTAAAAGGGAAACTAAGCAATATTTTACACTAAGAGACATTCAGGAATCAATCAAATGCAAAGATAACTCTAGCTCCTATGTTTGAATGAACATAATTTAGGTCATTACGTCATACCGCTCTGTACAAACTTTGTATCAATTTCCTCATTCTACAATGAATCAGTGTGTACAAAGTATAATACAGCCCTTTGTAAAATTTGATCAGTTTCCTCAATCTTCAATGAAATACTTGGTGTGTCACAAGACATAATACAGTTTTTATAAACCCAAATCAGTTTCCTAAACATAGTACAATTATTTATAAAACCTGACCCTGTTACTCAATCAATGATGAAGTACTTGGTGTGCCGTAAATATGTCAATAAGCAATACCTCAAAAGGAACTGCATTCATACATGGTAGGCAATTGGAAGCCAATTTAGTATTTTAAACTACCCAAAAAATTCAATCATAAGAACTCAAAGAACAAATTGGACCCACAAACGTAAGCCTCATTAAGAAAACCATAGTTGCAGGGAATTTTCTTTAAAGGAAAAGAAGAAATGAAAACCAGAAGCTAAAAGACATTGAAATAATCAACCAAATGGATTAATTACGAGGAAGGTATGAGGAAGGTATGAAGCGTTGAAAAATCTATCCTAAGAAGAATGGAGAAAACTCATGTTCAGCTCACAAACTTCAAAAAAGAAACAAGTACAAGTGACTTTTTCATCTACAGCTTATTGTTCTTAAATTTCACAATCAATACAAATAAAAAATGAAGTATATGTACATATCAACATAGATACACGTGCAAAGAGAGAGGGGAAAAAGCAACACCCACAAAGATTTTCTCTATAAAACAAACAAGTGGCACATTAAAAGCCACATTCCGTAAGCAATACAAATCAAAGAAGAGAGACACGGAGCAAGCAATACAAATTAAAGGGAAGTCGGAGTGATAATTACCAGAACAAAGAAAGAACGCCATATTAGTCAAATTTATTAAAGAAAAAGAAAAGAAGACACGATACAAACTAAAGAATATATCATCAAAACGATTTCTTCCATTACAAGCCACAAAACGAACTGTTCTTTCGCACTTTACATAAATAAGGCACACCAATACGATTCACTAATATAAAACTCAGTAAACAAAAAATGAACAGAAAATGATAAAACAAATGGCAAAATCTTTTCAGCCTGCCAAATTGGATGGTCTTTAACAGAGAAAACTCACCTCAATTCCCTCAAAATAACCAATATTTCCAAGTCCAAGAAAGAAAAAGCACAAAAGTTAAATCCTATAAATTCAGATAGAAAATGGAGATAGCTACAAGAAAGATAAAGTTACAGATAGCAAGAAGAGGGCAAGGTCCATTGTCATTTTGCAGGATAATGGGAATGGATCGCCCTAGAAAATGAATTTGCTTAGTCTTGTAGACAATTGCTTCCGGGTCTCGAGGCGTCTCCTCTGATGCAGCCATTGCCGACGATTCTTCAGCAAACCACCAAAAGAATTTTAGAGAGAGAGAGAGAGAGAGAGAAATTACAACGATGATGCAGTATTCTGACAAAATGCAAAATTAGGTTTAATTCAGACAGACAGAGAGATATGATGATGCTAAGAGAGACGAGAGAAATTTGAGCTCCGGAGAGGAAGAGAGGGTTCGGAAATAAAGAATTAGAGAGAGAGAGCGCACGGGTTGGGGTTTTAAAATACAACGAAAGTATGTCTACTACGGTCGAAGATAAAACCTACTAATAATAAGACAACTAATAAATACTCTTTTGAGCTCTTTTTTTTCTCCTTTTCTCTTTTTGCCCTTTTCCTTATATTTTAAGGGAAATGCGTTTTTTTTTTTTTTTTGGCATATCAACCTTATTCTATTGACGTAAGGTGAACCTAAAATCCTGCCAAAAATGCAGTTTAGGTGCCGTAAAGCATTACGATGATATAAAAATCAATTGTTTTCTTCAATTATGAAATTTAAAGTTTTATAAATAGTGACTATCAAGAAATCTATAAATACATAAACATCTTGAAAATGGACGGTCTAGATAATGTGTTAGAAGATGAACTATTTTGAGACATAGAAATCCTCTATTTTCATATCTATGAATTTCAAGGTCGAGATGATCGATTAGAGGATTTTTCAGCACAAGAACAACATTTTATGTTGGGTGTTTTAGGTGCATCTTACCCATACAGTATAATAAGGTTGACACCTTATATAAACTTTTTCTAATAATGGTTCTTTTTGCCAGCATCGGGATTTCATCACCGGCACATTTGCTACGGTCGAATTTTGACTTCGACGGTGACAGATGTGCTAGCAACTGTACAGAACTCGAATGCGAACAGAGTGCGCCTTTATCAAACTAAACCTAGACTACCATAACGATCTTGTTGATTTCTTGAGAAAAATAAAAGAATGAGATCCTAGTTTTTCTCCAAAAATATTTGAAAATCCTTGTTTCCCTCCAATATCACTATAGTGCCCCTAGCTTTCCATGAATTATTTTTTGAAAGAAGTTTATACAAGGGTGATGCATTAAATAATCAAATTAAGACGCACCTCAAAATTCAATAGAAAAAGTTGTTTCGATGTTAAAAAACCTTTAATTCGATCATCTCAACCTCAAGATGTACGGACATGAGAAGAAAAAAATTTATAGTATTGAAAAGAATGCATCTTGTAATGTATGATCCAAACTGTTAATTTTCAAGATTTTCAAGTATTCATAAATCTACTCAATCTACACTATTTTTTCACTTTAAATTTTATAATTAGATATAAAAATAAATTTTTAGGGCATCACAGAGATTTCTGTTACTAAAACAACATACTTTAACACTATTTGAAAATGCATCCTATTTTGATTGTTTAGAGCATCGGCCTTATACAAACCACACCCTTATTTTTTTTTTGGGTACATTTCTATCATTACAACTAGTTACCAAATTCATTCAAAATACAAACGATTATCGAGAAGCACCCCTTGAATCCTAATTATGGTTACGATGAACATCATAAACCACACCATGTGTATATTAATAGTCCAAAATAGGTAGTTGGGCCCTATAATTGTTAATGTAATTTAATAGCTTTTTCATCATGATCATCCAAGCGTTATCTCAATTATTTGAGGTCGGTAATTATTTAAGTGCTATACAAATCTTGTTTTGCCATAAGGATCATATCCTCAATTAGGTAATAAACATAATCATCATCATCGTTTACCAATTAAATAGGGTCGTCTACACAAATTGCGGTCCGTCATTATGCTCTATTAAGGGCTATAACTTCAGTAAGGTATTTTTTTTCACTACTTCCAATCATAACTTTTTAATCTTATATCTACTTTTTTTTAGCTTTCAAACCATAAACCCTAATAATTTATTTTAAAAAAATTAGCCAATAATATCTCAATGACTTAAAACAATAGTAAGATTCTCTTTTAGGGTGTTGAGACATTAAAGTCATTTTAATTGTTTGCTCCCACGTGTGTATGTAAAACCGCGTATTTCAAGGGAATAGACAAAAAAGATAAACGTGGTCTTGAATGGAGAACTTTTTTTCTCTTATTTACCTTCTCCAACGTCGTGACTAAAAAGGTTTTATCGGGCCACACATATTCCTTTGTCTTTTCTCTCCTTGTTTCTCCAAATTGATCCAAGACTCTCAAATCTTTTCAAAAACAATACTCAATCTATTACTTTTTTGGCCTCAAGATTTGTCTGATCCATTGAACTTTTGTTCAAATCTATTAATTCCAACCTCTCTCTATCTTTCTCTTGTTGATGATTTAAAGTATTCTTTGGAAATTTTGATTGTAGAAGATATTAAGTGATATACTAAAAGCGATTGAGAGAATGATAAAAGTCACTCCAAGTCATTCCAACTTCTTCTCCCTTGCCGACTTGCCTGGCAAAGAGCTTGGCATCTATGACTCAAGCCATTGTACGGCGTCCCCATCCCCCCAAATTTTGTAACTCCTTTCATTTTGCAGGACGTTGCTAGCATCCCACTGGAAAGGGTCATGCGGTGCATGTATATGTAACTTTCCATCATCATCATTATCGTCAAAGCTTTTTTTCAATTAATTGGAGTCAGCTACATGAATCTCTTTGCCCTCATTAAGGTTATAGGTCTCCATATCTTTTCTCACTACTTCCAACAATGTCCTTTTGGACTTACTTCTTGGCCTTTGTAGGCTTCTACTTGACTTAACTCACAAATGTTGTACTAGGTCCACGTCACACATAGCAAACGCAGCTAAGTGTACTCTCTCTCATCTCATCGCTTTTTGGTGCCACACCAAAAAAAATTTGAATGTATTCATTTCGTATGTTATCCCTTCTTGTCTTGTCACTCATCCATTTCAACATCTTCATCTCCACTATACTCATTCTATAGGTATATTGGTTTTCAGTTGCTCAACATTCTGCCCAATATAGCAAAGCTGGTCTCACAATTGTCCTATAGAACTTGACTTTTATTGGTATACGGCAATACTACAAGTCCAGGATCCATGATAAGTTTCAGCAAAATATTACGTTGGTTGCCTACCTAACGCAAACTAGCTCTTTTACTTGGGCATGAAACTGGTTAAAGGAAAGTTTGAGGTCATCACCCTTCTTAGCCCAATATGTAACCTTCCATCATGTAAAATTTTTTGGGAGTGTCAATAAAAAAATAAAAAATAAGTAGGGGCTCACATCCCCATGGTTTTACCCAAAGAAACTTTCAATTATTCTTAGCAACAATTTGGGCTCAACGAACCTATTTTTCTTATTTCACTCACGCTCGTTGACCCGAAGGAGGAGAAATAAAATTTTTCTCTTTCTAGCATAGATGAAGGTTACATCATAGATGCAATAATGGTGGCAAATCCTTTCATTAAAGAATGTGTGACATTCGAGGGCTCACTTTTGATAAAAGGATTTGTAATAATCCTAAAATTTCAAGAAAAAGAAAAGAAAAGAAAAGAAACTTTTAATAAGTGATGGTCTATATAAGCATGATAGTCCTTAGGGACCATCACTACTTTCAAAAGATTTTGGTTTAAGTTTTTGGCTACCTTACCACGTCCTTTACTGGACGTGGGCTTTAAACGTTCAGGTGTAATATAATTATTAAACATCATGTATGAGGTGTAACTTAATACGATAATATAATAAGGCATCTTAAGAATTTAAATAGGAGAGGCGAGGACTCTTACCCTAGAAAATTTTTGAGATCTTTCTCTCTCTAGTCGAAACGCAGTGAGTTTTTTCTCTCTTTAGCCGAATTTTTTTCGGAAGTTCCCTCTCAAATATTTTAGGTAAGTGACTTCAATATCTTGAAAAATAATCCGTTTTTTTTTAAAATGAAATGAAATAATTACTTCTGCTTATTATCATGAGTTTTAGGCACGATAAATTTTATGCGCAAGCGACCTCGTTATTTTGAAAAATAAATTTTTTAATAAAATTGTGATATTTTATCTATGTTAAAATCTTAAGTGTTGTAAATTCTTGGAAAAATAAATTTATTTATTTTTCTTGTCTATTGTTAGAAAATTTTAGATACTGTAAAATTATTAGAAATAAATGTGATATTTCTGCTTGTAGTTAAATTGTGAGATTTCTTTTTACTGTTTTTGAATATTTAGACATTGTAAATTCATGTGCAAACGACTGCCTTATTATTTGAAAATTGATATTTTTGCAATTGATTATAGCATTGTCTATGAAATGTTTATTTGCAAATTAACATCCCATAAATTGTGATAATTCCGTATTCTTGAATGTCTATAAGAGTTTTTCTATACATATTAGATTGGCACTTATGCTAGAATGTCTTTACGAACTGCTACCTTTCTAAATTTGAGCCCAAAATATTTGACTGGTTTTCTTTAAAATGTTATTGAAAGTGACTGTTATTAATGGTTTCACTGAAATTCATATTAATAATTTCAGTGATATGTTGAGTACATGATATTACTGCTTTTGAATGTTTAAAGAGATTTAGAAATACTTTAAGTATGCAAGTGGACTCATCCGGTTCGCCGGTGAGGTATAAGTGGACCTATCCGGTACGCCGGTAGTGGATTCATTCGGTACGCCGGTGAGGTATAAGTGGACCTGCAAGGATTAAGTGGACATATCTGGGATGCCGATAGGAATTAAGTAGACCCATCAGGATTCTGATGGGGTACATAGGTGACCTACTTGGGACGCCAGTAGGGTAATTTGTGAAATCTTTTGAATTATGCACTGTCGTTAAAATGTTATACGCATTTCAATTATTCGAAGTATACTTAATTATGCATTTCTTAAAGTGAAACTGTTAATGCATTTTGTTAATAGATCTCCTTTTCTAAAATATTGATATCTTTCAACCATGATTAGTTTTAGGATTATGTTGATCACTTACTGAGTAGCCAAACTCATCAAATTATGGTAAACATTTTTCAGGATAACTGCGGTTTCATTTTGAGTGCTCGTCAGGGTCAACTCTAGAAGATATTGTAGTTGTGCTTAAACTTTCTTTTGTTACTTTGTAAGAATTCACCACTGTAAATTTGTCCTATCAAGAGATGTATATATGTTTTGACTGTCATATCTCCGAAATATCAGTATTGTAAATTCTTGGGACGTGACAAATATGGTATCAGAGCAAAATATCCCTATCTTTTTCAGTAATCAGGTACACAAATTTAGAGAACTAAATTTCTTTAAGAGAATAAGAATGTA